GAAGCCCCCGTCTCTTCCCCGCCCGGCTCCGGGGGTGTCTGCCCGGCGCCCGCGTGCAGGGTACGAGTACCCCAGCTCCTCGCACCCCGGCCGCACGTGGCAGGCGACATCCGCGCCGCTGGGGGGCGCGCACGCCCACCAATCAGGGGGAGCCCAGCGGGGGTCAGGGCTGTCCCGGAAGTACATCCTAGTGCGTGACCCCCCCCCTCACGCCCTCCTCTTCCGCCCAGGGCGCCCGCCTCCTCCCCGCGCGGGTGCTCTGATAGGCTGCTCCTCCTCTCCGTCTCGGAACCCGAGAGCTCACTGGTGCAGGTTCTGCCCCGCCTCCTGGCTGCATCCGGGTGCCTGGTGCGGGCCGCCATTGCGGAGCGGACAAGGGGGGCCATGGCCGCCGTGTTCCCGTACCGCGGGGGCTGCGCGCCCGTGCCCAGCCCGCTGGCGCCGCTGCCCGACTACATGTCAGAGGAGAAGTTGCAGGAGAAAGGTGCGTGGCGGGGCCGAGGGGGGAGGTGCCTGGCTCGGGGGGGCGGGCCTGACTCGGTTCCCGCGTGTCCGCAGCCCGCAAGTGGCAGCAGCTGCAGGCGAAGCGCTATGCGGAGAAGAGGAAGTTCGGGTTCGTGGACGCGCAGAAGGAGGATATGCCGCCCGAGCACGTACGCAAGATCATCCGCGACCACGGCGACATGACCAACAGGAAGTTCCGGCACGACAAGCGGGTCTACCTGGGGTGAGTGCGCGCCCAACGGCCCCGCTCCACACGGCACCGCTTGGTGCGTCGCGGGGCGGTGCCGCGCGCGGGAGGCGCGCCCGAGTCCTGGGGGCTGTCGTGGGGGTGGTCGTGGCTGCCGGAGCAGCGGTTTTTAGTAGGAGCGGTTCTGTCCGCAGGGCCCTCAAGTACATGCCTCACGCTGTGCTGAAGCTGCTGGAGAACATGCCGATGCCGTGGGAGCAGATCCGCGACGTGCCGGTGCTGTACCACATCACGGGCGCCATCTCCTTCGTGAATGAGATCCCGTGGGTCATCGAGCCCGTGTACATCGCGCAGTGGGGGTGAGCCGCTGCGGCCCTCGGGCCTGGGGGGTCTGGGGCACGTCTTGAACTGGCAGGATAGGCCGGGTCTAACGGTGGTGGGTTGTGCCAGGTCCATGTGGATCATGATGAGACGCGAGAAGAGAGACCGGCGTCACTTCAAAAGGATGCGGTTCCCTCCCTTCGACGATGAGGAGCCGCCTCTCGACTATGCTGACAACATCTTGGATGTGGAGCCGCTGGAAGCCATTCAGCTGGAGCTGGACCCAGAGGAAGATGCTCCTGTCCTGGACTGGTTCTATGACCACCAGCCCCTGAAAGACAACAGGAAGTGAGTACCCTTTCTCGGCAGTATGTTTCATTGCAAAGTGTCGTGCGGCACTGCCAAAATGTTTAGCTGTAGGGAGGACAGCAGCAGGCAATGTGTAAAGCAGCGGGGTGGACGGGGGAGCATTCTGCTGTGGGGAAATCAGTGTAAAAGTTGTCCTGGGACCTTCCGTGTCCGTGGAGAGCACGCGGGACCCGGACGTTTGCGGTTCCTTCTGGCCAGATCTTTGCAATGAGTTGAAACTCAGCATATCTTCCAGGGAAGCACAAAGGACTGAAACTGGAGTCAAAGCAGTGTTTCTAGAGAATTTCACGCATGGTATTTAGAGAGTATTGTCTGCTGTGAATGGGCCGGCTGCTTTATGCTTTGGCCAGCCAAACCTCCTGGGGAAAATTGCGTTGGCACATTGGGTTGTCTGGGAGGTTGCTTGCTACGGTCCCAAGTGTTAACATCTAAATTTTGGGTATGGGGCAGAGAGGGGAATTTGTTCAGTAGCAGGTAGAGGTGTGTCGTTCCCTGGAGCAGACTGGAATAAACACGCAGTCTTCCCTTTTGTGGAGGGAACGGTGAGATAATTCGCTTTCCCGTTTCCATGGGATAGGGCAGAGAAAGTGTTTTGAAGGGTTCAGTTGCCTTCTGGCCTGGTGGTGACTGGTCAGTGCGGTGCTTTCCTTGCAGGTACGTGAATGGTTCCACATACCAGCGCTGGCAGTTCACTCTCCCCATGATGTCCACCTTATACCGCCTGGCCAATCAGCTGTTGACGGATCTTGTGGATGACAACTACTTCTATCTGTTTGACCTGAAGGCCTTCTTCACTTCCAAGGCCTTGAACATGGCTATTCCTGGGGGTCCGAAGTTTGAGCCTCTTGTTCGAGACATTAACTTGCAGTAAGTGCTGAGCTGGAGACAGGAGGGAAGATGGGTGCTGCCTGGACTGGGAGTGGGATCCTCAATGTGCTGCGTGGTTTGTCCCAGGCCAGGTGCTGTTGGGCGGCTCCTGGCAGCAAGGTAGTCGTGCATTTGGGTAGACGCTTGTTTCTTTAGAGGCTGAATCGGTATTCGAGTGGGGGAGGGGGTAGAATGTGAGGACACTGCAAATGCTGACTGTGCTGTTTTGGTCCCTGACCTTTGCTTGCACTGCACTCTGCATTCTCACCGGATGGCCTCTTTCTTGTCAAAGGGATGAAGACTGGAATGAATTCAATGACATCAACAAAATCATCATTAGACAGCCCATCAGGACAGAGTACAAAATTGCTTTCCCGTACCTATACAACAACCTGCCACATCATGTGCATCTGACCTGGTAAGTACTGCCCTGTCTGGGGTATGGGGAGTTAGTGCGTCTTGCCTGTACAAACACTTTGCATGTGTTGCAGGTATCATACGCCAAATGTGGTCTTCATTAAAACAGAAGATCCGGACTTGCCAGCTTTCTACTTTGATCCATTGATCAATCCAATCTCTCACAGGCACTCTGTCAAGGTGAGTTACTGCCTGTGAGCCAGTGGGGCACTGGTCTGGGAGAAAGGAGTCCTGGTTTGGAGCCTCGTGTTGAGGGAAGGGGCTTTGGCATAGCGTAATGACTTTGCCTCACGTGGTAGCCAAGGCGAAGTGCCAGGGACAATGATACGCCTGTTTGTAAAAGCTGTGATGTTCAGTCCTGTCTGCAAAGGGGCGTGATCCTTCCAGACCCCAACCAGTGAACAAGGACACGATTCCAAGCAGCAGGATGATCATCTCTCCGGCACTGCAAATGAGTCTAGTTCATGTACAAATCTCTCATCTCTTTTGAGCTCCACTAACATGCTTCTGCCTTCGCACTCTGTGACTTCCAGAGTGCAGTTATAGCATAAGCTTTGTCTCCGTACCCGCTCCTGGCATCCTGTCAATCACCGAATGTATGAATAGGACCCCATACGTATACTACTTTGCTGACATATAAAATAGGGGATTCTACTTTCTGTTTTTGTTCTTGTCATTAAGACAATTTAGTTTGGAATCTTCTGTTACCATTCCCTGTTAACTTTTTTTTCTTCTGCTTTATCCAATCCCTGTTCTTCGCTTGAGTTAACCAAAAACTGTCCTCGGTATTCAGTCTTAGGAGTATTATTTTTACATGGCAACTGTTCTTTTGCCTCTTTATAATGCATCTCAGCATTTTATTCACAATGTTGCTTTAAAGAGGGTGGTGGGACAGGCATCAACTGCATTAAGTCGAGAGGTCAATGCTGATTCAGAGCTGTTGGCATGTAGAAGCTTTTGCAAAGTGACCCCCAGTATACAGTGCTGTTTGTCTCTTGCATTTCCTGCCCCGCTGTGTAGTTAGGACCTGTGTGGGGCTGAGCTGAAGCAACTACAGTGCTGATTCTCTCTGGTACATGTTTTAGAGCCAGGAGCCATTGCCTGATGATGATGAAGAGTTTGAGTTACCAGAATTTGTGGAACCTTTCCTGAAAGACACACCACTGTATACAGACAACACGGCCAATGGCATTGCGCTGCTGTGGGCCCCTCGGCCCTTCAACCTGAGATCTGGCAGGACGCGCAGAGCTCTTGACATCCCGCTGGTCAAGAACTGGTAATATTTCTTTATGGGAAGTTAGTGTCTGTGATGTTAGAGGGGATTCCCTCTCCAGCTTGCTGGTGAACCTGACTCAGTTGGGCTCAAGGTACTGAGGCAATGCTGCTTCTGCTCAGCCTGTCTGGAGACTTTGCAAAGCTTCTGCAGCATAGTCTGTTTCTGGGGAAACTGTTTCCACTGTGGGGAGTGGAAATAAGCATTACCTGGAGTCATGAAGCGTGTGTCTTTTGTGCTCAGGTATCGGGAGCATTGCCCAGCTGGGCAGCCAGTGAAAGTGAGGGTCTCCTACCAGAAACTGCTGAAGTACTACGTTCTGAATGCGCTCAAGCACAGACCCCCCAAAGCTCAGAAGAAGAGGTAAGTGGTGGCCTGTTCCTCTGGAAACTACCCCCAACTCCTTTTGGGATGCAGCTGATTCTGTTCTCTCCTCTCTTCAGGTACCTGTTTCGCTCCTTCAAGGCCACAAAATTCTTCCAGTCAACGAAGCTGGACTGGGTAGAAGTAGGGCTGCAGGTTTGCCGCCAGGGATACAACATGCTGAACTTGCTGATCCACAGGAAGAACCTCAACTATCTCCATCTGGACTACAACTTCAATCTCAAACCAGTCAAGACCCTCACCACCAAGGTACTAGTCCATTCCCTGCTTCTCTCTGGAGCAGTGTTCCTAGCTCAGATGCATCTGTCTGGTGCTGCAGTAATTTACCAAGAAGGTCTTTGATGGCTAATGTAACAACCTCAGGTGTCCATTCTCGATTCTGCACTGGCCTTCAGGATCAACCTCTTTGGTGACTCGCATAGGTTCCTGAGCCAATGCTCCATTCCCAGGGAAGCACTAGGGAGAACTGGTTGTGTGATGAAAGCCGGGTCTGCAGCAATGCTGTGAAGCTTACCTTGTGCTGATCAGTTCAGTTAGTAACTGACAGAGAAGGGCTTTGCAAAAGCTGCTGCTGTTGATCCTGAGAAGGTGCACTTTGCAAACTGGGTGAACGAGTGGAAGCTGCCTGGCCGTTACATAGCAATACATTCTCTAAACCCTGCCCCTGGCATCTCTCTTGACAGGAAAGGAAGAAGTCTCGTTTTGGTAATGCTTTCCATCTGTGCAGAGAGGTGCTGCGTCTGACCAAATTGGTGGTGGATAGCCATGTCCAGTACAGACTGGGAAACGTGGATGCGTTCCAGGTATGCCTAATTTGGTAACAGAAGGAGCTGGAAGGGCCAGGCTATTTAACTTTGGGGTACATGAATGCTACTAGCAGTTGTAAGCATGAAGGGGGAGGGGAGCAGGAAGAATGTGCATGAATCTTTTATTGCCTGATTGGAATACATGGCATAACAGCATACAGCGCAGTTAGGGGTTGTCTCAGGCAGAGACACTGCTCAGTCAGAAACCTCTGCCGTTGCTGGCCTAGCTATGTG